TTCATTCCAAAAAAAAAACAAAAAAACTGGAGAAAAGCATCGAAAAATAAAATAGAATGAAACGATCAACAAAAACTTCCGAAACTAAGAACTCATGTCTGCCATGTTGTGTCGTTGGCTGCTGCGATGCAGCAGCCAAAGCAACAGCAGCCAGCAGTGCCATCACCATCAGCAACAGAAGCAATAACAACAACCACCACAAAATACTATATATGACAAAAGTCACAAGTGCATACTACACAAATAAACATTAATTTCGTTTACGACATGGCATAGCAACAGGTGGAATAACCCCGAAATCATGTGAAACCTCAAATTGAAAACTACTCCATTAGAGAAGTCGTCGTTTTTGATTCTCTGCACATTTTGGAGTTCTGGCTCTCGTCGTCGCCGTCGTGTTGTTTTCTGTTTGATTTTCCCTCTGTTGCTGTTTTGCAGCGTGTCGTCTGTGACCGTGATTTTGGTTGGAATGGGTTGCTGTGCGCTTTGTGCATATCTGTTTGGCACAGCGTACTAGTGTTGTTGTTGGATGTCGTGGTCGTAAATTGGTTAACGGTTGCCTCTGCCGCCTATTTCAAAAAGTGAACTAAACAACCGTCATTTATTTTGACGCGCGATGTATGCATCTTTTCGCACTTGCATTCGCTTAAAACTCTTCGCAAAACACAAACAACCGGGCGCCTGTTTACCATTCGAAATTCGATTAATTTTTGTGAACACACACGCTTGGCGGTGGCGGCGGTGGCGGTGGCGGCGGCGGCGGCGGCGGCGTCTTTTCACGAAACGATGAAAAACGATGTAGCCCCGCTGGCATCAGGTTTAAGCGCTCTGATGATAGGAAATCAAACGACAGGAAATCATTTAAAGTGATCGTTTATTCGTACGATTTGATTGCATGTATCAGCAATCAAACTAACGACATTGACGACGCAAAATTATTATTCACCATCGTCACACTCCCAAATTAGGCGCGCATTTCGACCGCATTCATTCCAATCGAGTCAATCAAGAATTCGGTCAAAGTTTCGTTGTCAACACACACACACACACACACACTACCACCACTACTCGTGTCACCATCAAGTCGCCCAAAGAACTACTATCTTGAATTTGGAGTCAATTGAAATTTCGAATGAGGGATCCGCTCTGAGCACGTGCTTCCAAGACAATTTGTTGGAAACACGTGATGTCGAAGCCCTTGAATACACTTCGTAACACTTGATCGATTTGATAAAGACTTTTGAGAATAAAAAAAGGAAATAAAAAGAAAAAGAAATCATTGAAAGTATTGCTAACTAAAACTGTGCAATTGCATTTCAAATTGGGTTACGTCTCCATCCGTTCGAAATTGTGTGTGTTTGTTCGATAAAATGGCAAATTGAACAATGGCTTCTTTGGCATTTCCGATGGAAATGAACGATGTTCGTATTTTCTGAAATTAATTCGAATTCCATCGTTCGAGTGAGAGAAAGGGAGTGAGTTAATTTGAAAAATGTTTCAAGTATTCTCAATTTATGTACTAAATGCGGCATTTAAAGTGTTTTTCGATGAGATTTATAAGGAGAGCAATTCCATTTGTGACATAAGAAATACGTTAAAAATGGATATATAAACTGAAACTCTTTTGTGAGAGACCCAGCAAAAAGTATTATGTTCGTTTAACGTAACACTTTCCTCAGGTCTGATCGAGAGACACATTCAAACACGCAAACATACAGAAAGAAAAATTCTCGTTCTGAAAACAAAATTGCAGGAATGTCAGTATGCTTGCATAAGCTTGTTGTATTGTGAATTTTGTGCGCGCAATTTGATATAGAACATTGTAAAATATGTAATTTAGAATGCTTCATGCGCGCCCGCCCGCTCGCACTTCATTCAGATGTGCAATGTATCCTAAGTAGTTGGTATAGGTCAATCTGCATTTAGAAGTAATTCCAAAAGCATTGTCCGTACAATGAGTACATTGAAAACGCTGAATAAGTGCGATTTTACCGTTTAAGCTTCAGTTTAGGGGAAAAGCTTTTTTCGACCTTGAAACTATACAACAAACATACAAACACGCAAATTTTTATCAAATCGAACGAAGAAATAGCTGAAAAAAACATGTTCAAAAAAATCGATTCGACGAATTAATGCATTTTATTTTCCATTTTCATTTCAATTTCAGACAACGAAAATCACAAATGCAAATAAAATCCACAATCAATCTTAACGATGAACAAAAACCGTGCGTATTTAATACACGTATCAAAATCAAATCTAAATTTTTTTTTTGAATTTTTACTATTTTAATTGCTAATTGTTGTTCTGCAAATGCTCTTGAATTCAATGGAAAATCGCGAAAATATAAGTTTTTTCCTATCCGTCTATCCCTATCTCTCGATCCACAAACGATAAATTTGCAAGACGTGAAAAAAACAATTGTTGATCATCAATCTAAATTGCGGACAAGCGATGCAGTCTTTGCCTTGACATTATCAAAGCGGTGAAGTGGTAGACAAGCAAACAAACCGTCGAAAACATTGTATACTTTTGCGTTATATCTATATACATTTTCCAAATATTCGAAATGTCAAGCTCCCTCGATCTGCACAGTATGCACAAGGCGACAAAATCGGTTTGCTCGGATGTATGTGTGTATGTACGCGTATGTATGCTATCATTTTTATCCAATCAATTGTAGATGCATTTCTTTCTTGTCGATTAAATAAAATGTAGACACACAGGATGAATATGGAACATACATACACAGTTCAAGCATGGTGAGCATTTCGTGTGCGCATTTTCGCCTGGTTTTTCGTGCTACTTTCTAATACGTACAGTGTAATTTAGTTGCAATACACATAAAGGCGACGTGAAGTCGCAAAATCGATGCCAACGGTTAGAGAACAAAAGAACGAAAATGTATAACAATAATTGGATATGCATTTCGTATACTGTGAAAATACTCATGTTTATTATTATTGGAGTATATGCGTTTGCCGAAGTTAAATCAATCCAATGCAATCACACCATCACACCATTCAATTTACATCACATCACACAAACACCAACCGAAGAAGAAGAAGAAGAAGAAGAAGAAGAAGAAGAAGAAAAAAACACCCCAAAACCATCTGTGAGCTAAAGTCGACCCACCGTCGGTCGGATCCAAGTAAGAATGAGCAACAGGGCATATAGAAGTACAGTTGCAAGAAATTCGAATGATTTTGAGGGATAGTTGCGTCGAATGGTGAACGACGAAAGCTGAATGGACCGTCATTGGGTCCGGTCTAGTATGTGAAAATCATCTAGAAAGCCGAGCAATGGGACCGAAAAAAGTAACAACCACATGCATAAAACGAAAAAAAACTCCCTCTTCCGATCTTGCATAAAGATATTACACGTTCACCAAGCAATGTGTTGTGGATATCTAGCTATTCACATACTTGTACAGTCGAATACGAACATAGCTATTTACTTTGAAACTAAATAATGTGGAAAAATATACACATACACATACATATACATACATGCACACAGACACAGAGACACTTACACAGCGATCCACAGAAAAGCTTTCAATACACAAATATTGAAAACTCGGGACACACCAAAAATTTATCCACTTATACAGTGAATTTTCTATCCACGCTATGGTGGCTGCAAGACACGAAATGCTTTAAACTACCAACTCTTAACGAAATGCATGCGAGCCACAGTGGTGAGTTGGATGGAAACTAAAGCGGCACCACGCTCACTATGAATTTTCATGTGAGCTCTTGTTTCTTACTTAATAATGCAGCGACCGAACTAAATATTTTTCAAACAATCACCCACATCCACACATGCACTGCGCACAAAAAGTCATCACACAGGCACATGCAATCCAACTTTGTAAACCACATTTTCCCTTCTTTTTCACATATCGCATGTCTTTTTTTTCCACATTTTCCATTTATACGTCGTGCCCAAGATACATACGAAAAAAAAGCTAAATAAATAACAAAAAAAAACAACAACCGAGTAGAAGAGAAAAACGAAATGAAAACGCAAGAAACTGGGAAGTGCACGTTGAAAAAAGGGAAAAAAAGAAATACGTCGATAGCAAACTGATTCAAACATGAGGTATCTGCATACACAGCAATAGTATAAGTGCCAACGACCATAAGAATTCGCATTGCAAACTCACTATATGTCCAGAATTGTATTCTTGTTGTTTTTTTTTGTTTTGTTTTCGGGGGAGCAAAGCAAACTATAGCAATAGCGATTGCAACCTTACTTTCGGACATCGAATCCTACGGAGCGTTTGAATTTTATGCACAGCGCGCAAATCACACCACTTCCCATCCACACGGATTCTCTCGTTCTCGGTTCAAGTGTTGCATATTTTCACACAGATAAACGAAAACGGCATGCACACATCGCCATTCGCTGGTGGGAAAAACGGCGAAAGGAAGTAAGACAGAACAAGCGAATAAGAGCACACGCGACAAGTATAACCGTTTGGAAGTTATTACATTTTTCAATGTTTGTTGCTTTTGTTCCCATTTACCCCACTCCACCGCTCCATATTAAAGTCACGGTTCTCGAAAATCGACTATATTCTCTTCAAAAAAAAAAGGAAACACAGAAAAACGAGAAAAAACACCACTTTCCTTCACCATGTTCTCCATTGAACATTTTGAGCTTCCTTGTTTGTTGCGCGTCACGTTGTACATAACACTCGATTCACTCAGCCTCAAACTAACACACAGGTTGCCAATAATTCCTAATGTGGCAATTATCAATCGAAATCCGATTTTTATTTTCTTCTTCTTCGACTGATTTTTTTTTTGCTTCAAATTCATAAAATATAGTCTGTTCACATTGAAAATCCGCCCGTTCACTATATGGGAGGTAAACTACAAATCGACCAATTGAGAAACATGTAGTTGCTGCTTAAAGTGATTCAACTGAAATGATTTTGCCGATTTATGTAAATGAATTTAAAGTAAAAAAAAATCCTGTTTTTGTTTTTACAGAAAATGTTGACATATTTCTATTGATAATTTGGACAATACAACCCCTTAGGTGGGGTACTCAGAAGACGATTCTTGTTTATTTTTCTGCCGGATTGTCACCAAATGTTTTTGTGTACAAAAAATAACTGTAATTGAAAGAGCAAATTGTGTGAAATTCAAAACGAAAAAATATTTTACTCGCAGATGCTGTTTTAAAGTCTCAGTTAAATCAATCAAAATCACACAAACACCACATCAAAACTACAATTTAAGTGTTTCGAACTAGAAATAAGTATTTGCAAAGGAAGTCATGATTGACCAAATGGTGTAAACTACAGTGCAAAAATGAATTTCCGATAAAAGGTCCAGTGACTTTGTTCGCATTTGTTTCTGAGAAACAAATCCGATTTTGATTTCTTTGCAAACGGAATAGACTTGAAACGAACAGAGCAAAGAAACAAAAAAATGGCACCGAACATAAACCATTGAATTTTTGTTGTTTATCATGTGCCACATTACGATTGTTAGTTTGAAAATAAACGAAAAAAACAAACAACCCAAATCGATAGAAAATTGCAACCATCTACAACTAGAGATCACCATTCCAACCGTAAGAACATTCAAATCCAAAATAAATAAGAAAATATTGTGTGATGTAAAATGCACATGTGAAAGTTATCGCAAATGTTTGTGCCATTACTTGTTGCGTCACACATAGCTGTGACAAAGAAGATAAACGAAGTGAAAAAATCAAAATTTGCCGTGAAGTTTGCTGTTGCACTTGACAAGATTTTAACCAGTTTAAATTCCATCAAATTTCATTCGTGCGACGATCAAATCGAACATAAACAAAACAATTGCGTTAAAATCGGAAAAACATGGCGGATTGCTCCTATGCGCGTTGCGTTCAAGAAAGACGATTTTTAAAGCGAGAACTACAGAAATGGAATAAAGATATGGTACACGTTGTGGGTGAGTATATCCAAGAGATATTTATTGCTTTCATTGGCCGCATTTCTTTGAAGAAAAAAAATTACAACATATAAATATATACAAATCGCCTTTAATATAAGTATTTAGATATGCATTTTGCTTATTCATGTGTTTTGGAATGGTGCTAACGACGACAGAACACTTTTGTCGAATGATATCATGCATGCGTTCGATTTCTATTCAAACGCCGCGACGATTAAAACAATGTGTTAAGAGGGTCCAACGTGTCAGTGTTCGTTCTGTTTGTTGTGCAATTTTATACGCGGTCAGTAAACTTTGGACTTCTTCAATTTTCTTTTGACTTCACCGTCAAAAATAATAACAAGGAATAAATGGAAGAAAGAAAAAAAAAAGAGTAGACGATTCGAAACGAAAGAGAGTTAGAGTGAGCGTAAGCGAGCGAGTGAGTGTGAGAAAAAAAAACGAAGAAACGAGATGCGACTCAAGTATTGAATAGACATTTTCTAATAGTTGAAGGGAAACAAAAATATTTTTGCACTGTTTTCCACTGAAAAAGTCTCTTATGAGTTCGTTCATCCAGCAAACATAATCCAACGACGATGAAAAACACTGTTGAATGTGCGAAAACAAAGACAATGACCGACCAGAACACACAACAATAGCAGTCAAGTATATAATAGTGGGAAAATTAAATAAAATGTTCGAGAAATGAGAAACAAGAAGCGAGAAACGAAAAGCGAACAAGTCCGTTTAATGGACCTGTTGCCAAATTATATAGAGAAATTCGTATTTCCACTTTTTTCCATTTCATTCGCTATTCACTCGCTGTCGCCCGCTTCGTCTCTCCGTCTCTCTCTCTCTCTCTCTCTCTCTCTCTCTCTCATTGTTGCTCTCGCTTTGCCGCTCATTGCTCTGGCTTATTATTCAAGAATGCTTGCACAAACGCACTTATGTGCTAGATAAAGCTGCCCTTTATGTATGTATGGCAGAGCAAAAAAATGGTTTCGGTAACCATACCTATCACCGTCTGCGAAAATGTCTGGACAAAAGATCTGAAATTCTTCGGCACAAATACATACACATGCATGCAGGCAGCCAAAATAAGCGACAAAGTTAGGTTGTGCAAGCGCGAAACAAGAGTGGCATGAAACAGAGCAGCCTCGTCCGTTCGTACTACGATGCATTCCTGTTTTCTTCGCTTTTTTTTTCTTCTGCTGTTCTTTTTTCGTCTTATTTTTGCTCCATGCACTTTCCAAATGTATGTTTATGCTTGTACAGTGTACACTCGTGCAAGATTCTTATATTTTCGTGCAATATTGATGTCGTCCGAATTGCAGTTGTGTGCTCAGTCGCAGTGTACGATGGTAGCAAGCTTCTCCTTGCGATGGAACGAAAAAGTAGTTTACGTGAAATCACCAAAAAGAAAGGAGGAAAACATTGGGTTTGTAAAAAAGGAAAAGCAAAAGTCGGAAAAACCAATCCTTATGTGCTGATAATGCAACACACGCTATTCATGCTCATTCGCACAAACACATCATCGTCATCTATTTATTCGGTTCTCGGTTCGGCTTACATAACGAACCAGCACAGGACCAGAAAACAGCAACAACAAAAAATTGGAAAAAGGAATACGAACGAACACACCGAGAACACACAGTCACATACAAAAAAAAAAGAACGAAAAAGAAAAACCAAGAATAATGAATGTGTAGATAGGGAAAAAGAATTGAGGCAAAATTTTCCTTAACTGAATGAGAAAAGCCGAGAGTGCCGCAAGAAGGGCTTATAACTTTGGCTGTTTCCCAGATTATATATGCGATGCCGAAGCTAGAGCAGTAAGTGCACCACTGTAAGCATATTTTGTATATTCGATATTCGTAGCGCTTTCCCTCTCTCACTCTCTCTCTCACCAAACACACAGTGTGCCGAGGCTCACACAGTTCCACGCAAAATAACGTATCACGATTTTTGTATAAATACGTTCGGCACATGGATAAATATTGGTATTATACAGGACCAAATGCATCTCTATAGATGGTTATATGCAATTGTGGGTGATCACAGCTCAGAGCGCATAGTGCGCCAATCTGCGGAATAAACGAGATTTCGAACTGGTAAATAAAGGAATGAATGAGACAGTTTAAGTCAGGCACTAAGAATTTGGTTACCAATACATAGAACGTAATCAGTTCAGGACGGGAGGGAAAAAAGTATGGCAAAGTAAAATGGAAAATAAATGAGAAAAAATTATCAAAAAAGGTGATCGAACTCATTTCTTATTGGATACCAAATCGATTTCAATGTATGTGTGTGTGTGCATGTGCCCGTGTTTGTGTGTAGCCATCGGGACTTGTACACACTTTCGGCAAAGAGAGAGAGAGAGAGAGAGAGAGAGAGAGAGAGAGAGAGAGAGAGAGTGCATAAAATGTGGACGCTTCATGCTCTTTTCATTTTCCATCACACACCTAAAACTCGAAGGAACGTAAAATAAAGTGCAACAGAAAAATCTTCAAACTATCTAAAATCGGTATACATAACAAACTTACGTAAATAATTTCTAAGGGTGAGCAGTCACGGCATGGGAAGAAGGTCGCACAAATATTCGCAGAGAGAGAAAAAAACGTAGCGTTTTTTTCTTCTGTTTGTTGCACATAAACAAATTACATAGCCACGTACTTTGTCCCTTCCCATTCATTACTTTTAGTTTTCGACGAATAAAAAAACAAGAAGAAAAAGCGACAGAAATTAAAAATGAAGCAGCGCAAAAAGCACCCGAAACTAATTGGTAAAAAAGCTTCATTTCGTTGTTTTTGCCGTTGCCGCGTCGGATTTAAATATAAAATTAATGGATTTTAATTTTTGTGTTGCACATTTACCACTCTCCCAACCCCATTTTTTTTCTCTGCTTTTCCTCCGCCTCTTCCTCCTGGTGGTGCTGCTTCTTCTTCTTCTTCTCTCTTCTTAAACTGCCCGAGAAATATTATTAATGAACAAGAAAAATGTGAAGGGGCTCCAACCTTTCCTTTATTTCCTTCTAGTAACAGTTTGCCACTGCATGCATTGTATACAAGGGCATATATTGGAAAGAAGCATCCACAAAAAACGACACCATACACATAATCGTATACGAGTGCGAGATTCAACATATAAACGGAAACGGACAAAAAGCGGCTGCAACGACACACAAGATATCCCTATATTGGAACACAAATATTGTGTCGCTTGCATATGTATGTCTGTATCTTCGCCAAACTATAAATATTATAAAAACTACACCCTAAAAAAGCAGCCCACTCTATGATTTGTCTTTTTTTTTGCACGCTTTTGTCTATTTTTCTCTTCTTCTCTTATTTTCTTGTCCTTCGCCGTTTGTTATCACACTCCTGGAGGTATGTGTGCATCACTCGACGAACGCTCAACGCTATATGTATAAACTCGTTTGTTCTACTCTCGCCAATTTTCGAGTATACATATTGCGTCTATGCCATCTACTATATATGTCTTCTCACTGTGTACAAACTGGATTCAACAACATGAAAAAAAGAACTTGCCATCGTTATCAAACGGACCATAGATCGGTCTTTTTAACGGTGACCACCGCCGTTGAATTGAAAAATCCACAGCGTCTTCTCCATGGAACTATCTATCGTTCAACATGACACATATTCGTTTGGGTTCGATTCCGTTCGAAAAGCATGCGCCCGACCATTGGCCCATGGTAGAGACGAACGATTTTTCACGAAAATATCATCTATACCCTCTGCCATTCTGCTCTGTGTTGCACATAACAATCTTTTCGCAAGAGAAAAAGCAAGCGGCAACTGTCTGCTGTTGCTGCTGTAACGGCTCCACCACCAATACCAACGATATTAACGACATCGCCATCATCATCATCATCACACCATTCAATGCATATTGCATTCTTTTCTGTGGGGTATAGTTTTTCGGGAAAAGTTCTAGTGGGGATCTAAAATATCTTTCGTGCACCGTTTTTCCACCATTACCGCATTTCAAATGAACCATACTGCAAAGAATTCATTCGAATCCCCTAGTTCGGGCAAGAACACATTGCCATATCCCACACAACATTCAAATAAAGTGCATCACACTCCGACGTTGCAACTCATCGTTGCGCACGGGTTGGCTTACTTTTATCCATTTTCTCTCTCTCTCTCTCGCTCTCTGCCACATTCTTTTCCCGGTAAATGGGAAACAAAATTCCGGCGAACGAAAGATATCTCAGTATGTTGCTGTTGATCCTGAGCTTGCCGAAGTTTAAGTTTGCAAGTTGGTCGTGAGCAACAAGTGAGTTCATTTTATGTGATAGTGATTTTTTGGTTTTCGACTTGGTAGAACATAAGTGGAAGTGAAAATTCAGTTGTTGCATCGAGTTCAGTTTCGGGTACAACAAGTTAAATCTATTAAAGACAAGCAACAGTGCTGAAAATGTTTTTGATTTGTTTGACTTGAAATGTAAACGATTTGTTTTGGTTCAAATAATAATTTTTGTACGTATGGCAAACGAACGGTAAATAATATTTGTTTTTTTTTGGAAATAATCGCTTTTCAAAACCGAAACGAAATGGATAAGATTGTGTACGATTTGTTTATATTTCGGCCGAATCGGAGCTTATTCCCAATTCTCCCCCGAAAAATAAAAATAATTCCTTCTTTTTTTTTCAAACGGTAAACTAAACATTGGATTTGAATTGGTGCACTGCAAGAAATAATCTCGCTTTTATTCCAATAATTATTTGTTTTTGTGTCACTGGTAATGCGATAAAATGTAAATTATTTCGTTAATCGATCCATAATTTTTCAAAAGACAATTCTATTGTTTTCGATTGAATAACTGAATTTCGTACCATTATTTCCTGAAATAAATAATGTTACAGTTCAAATTGAAGGAAAAAAAATATATATACGTGATGACACTTTTTAAGCTTGTTTTGAAAATGCATTTCGTATTCACGCGCCACTATTCGCTCTCATCATTTTTAATATTTAAATGTGAAGGA